CGTCAACAAATAACAATCCAGCAGTTGAAGGATTTGCGAACCAACTATCAGAGCTTCAAAATACGTTGAAGCTTCAATTACAATCCGCTCAAGAATCCTACAAGGCGTCTACAGATAGATTTCGGAATCAAGCACCTACTTTCAAAATTGGAGATAAAGCATGGCTTCTTCGACGGAATATCAAGACCAAGCGGTCATGTGATAAGTTGGACTATCGAAGATTGGGACCATTTATAATCGAGAAGCAAATCAATCCAGTGGCGTACCGTCTGGAATTACCAGCTTCTATGAAGGTACATCCAGTCTTTCATGTTTCTCTGTTAGAGCCTTATCGAGAGTCGTCTTTTCCTAGAAGAGTACAATATCCGCCACCTAGCATTGAGATCGAGAACCACGAAGAATACGAGGTTGAAAAGGTACTGGATTCACGACGAAGGTGGGGCAAGTTGAAATATCTTGTTCATTGGTGCGGCTACAATATTAATGAGCGAATGTAGGAGCCAGCTGAAAATCTCGCCAATATGCCACAAAAGGTACAAGAGTTTCATCAACAACATCCTCATAAACCTAAGCCGATTTGACGATAGTTTCCTTCTGAAGCTTGCTCACCCAAAAATATAAGAAAGGGGGAGAGCACCACCAAAATTCGTAGTTGATGTAGTTATTTTCTCCAAGATAAAATAGAATTTTTTCAGTAGCCATAGTTTGGTCTTCTGATATGGATAGCCAAGAGATAGATACTATGCCAGTCAGATTATCTCAACTGACTAGCTCACGAAGGCAACCCTGAGATGAAGAACCGCCTACACCATGACGACGACAGAGGATACCGAGTAACCGATCACTGGTGATTGTATTTGAATCCGAGCCTGCTTACGATGGTCAGCCAGAAGGCGTGTTTACAAGACAATTTCATAATGAGGACACAGAAGTTCATGCTTGGTCAGAAGTTAAAGGAGTGGGCCACTACCATTGACTTCAAGGGCCGATGAACCACTTGCCTCGTGAACAATAGTTGGAGTTCATAGCAGACGTTATACGACAGATCTTCATTTTCTTGCATTGGTACTGATCAACAACATTGCTTCTCAGAGACCTCGAAGCTAAAAGAGGAGGTGATGTTAGGGACATAATCCTTACAATCTTCTAGAGACAAGTTTCTAGAACCTTCTAGAAGCAAGTCTCTAGAACCTTCTAGAAGCTTCTTAGTTGGTAGAAGATATTAGGGACATAGTCCTTAGAACCTTCTAGAGATAAGTTTCTAGAACCTTCTAGAAACAAGTCTCTAAAATCTTCTAGAAGCTTCTTAGTTGGTAGAAGTTGCTTGAGAAGCTTCCTAAATAGAAGTATATATTGGAATCGAGGCTAAAGAGCTCTTCAGTCTCTACAACACATCTCTTGGAGCTCTAATTCACCTCTCTGGTGTTGTTCTCATCTGATTAATCTAGTTCTTGCCAGTTCTTCTTGAACTTCTTGTTAGATCTCGAGTCTATTTTTTTGTGTCCGTGATATATGCACATAATAATGTGCCACTTGATGGATCAACAATATGAATAATGCTTGGTGAATCAAAACCAACATATATGCCTTCTTGTCGATGAGCTCCGATGGTATGTTGTTGAGGTTCTGGTACTGGAATCCAAGCACGACAACCAAATACTCGTAAGTGAGATACATTTGGAACACGATCCGAAATGAGCTCATGTGGTGAAACAATTTCAAGAAAAGAAGGACAGAGGCATATTAATGTTGCAGCATGTAAAACTGCATGACCTCATATAGATGTAGGTAAATTTACATGAAGGAGAAGTGGCCAGATAATGAGTTGTATACGCTTTATAAATGACTCTGCAAGTCTATTTTGAACATGTTCATATGGAACACAATATGTCAACTCAAGTCCTATTGCAATACAATAGTCTTCAAAAGACTTTACTGCAAATTCTTTTGCATTATCCATATGCAATATTTTTATGGGATAATCAAGAAAATATGCCCGAAAATGAATAAGCATAGATATAAGATTGGCAAATACTATGTTTCGAGTTGATAATAATGAAACATGTGATTGTTTACCTGATGCATCAACAAGGACCAAAAAATAACGAAATAGTCTTGATATTGGATTCATAGGATCACAAATATCACCATGAAATCTTTCAAGCATTGGTAGTAATTCTTGTGGAAGTTTTCAAATTGAAGGCTGAGTAATCATTTTATCTTGCATGCATATACGACATAATTCCATAGAGTCTACATCTGCATGCTTTAAATTATGCCAAGTTATACATGGAATGATTTTTCTAAATAATGTGGATCTTGGATGTTTCAATCGTCCATGCTAAAAAAAAACACAACTATTTGTGATAGATGATGCAAAATTAAACATAATGGGAGGTCGAATCACAATTTGATATAAACCATTTTCTGTAGCAAAAGCTTTTTCAACAACTTTATGATTCTTCATAAGAACCAAAACCTCTTTTCTATTTAAAATGGCGATCGAGAGGTGATAACCATTAATACGCACATCTTGGTAGTTGATCAGACTCCAAGGTGCTAAGGGTGCAAACATCACATGTTTATATTTTATGATAGAACCCGCAGGTAATTTTACCATTACTGTGCCCTCTTGGAAACAAAACGCATTTGCTCTAGCCATGGTAATCATATTTTTAATTTGCCAAGTTGAAGATTTTTTAATAAAAAATTGTCTATCTCGCAAGATAGTATGTGTTGTTGCAGAATCAATGAGTGCATCATTTGATTCATCATTAGAGGTTTTGTCATTCATATAAGCCTCTAAGACATCAACACCAATTGAATCTATCGACGCATCCATGGTATGAACTTCACAAGCCTCAGCTCGTAATTTCTTATTTTCTTGGAATATTTTAATAAAATATTCTGAAGTATGGCACGCATGTGTTAAATGTGCAATCATTCCACACTTATGATAAGAACGCATCTCTGATTTTTATTTTCTACTATAATTAATAGTAGAATGTTTATTCTTTCGATATGGGTAGAAATAGTCATGACTATGACTACCCTGATACTTATGAGCACGTTTCTCATATTTATATAATTTCTTCTTAGACTTTGAAATATTAAGTGCATGAGATTCTGGAACTGTAGTTCCAATAGAACAAGCTTCTGCATTGCACAAGAGTAGCTCATTTTGCTTCTCCGCAAGAAGTAGATAGGACATGAGATCATAATGACTCTAAAATTTCATGTTCATGTATTGTTGTGCAAGCACAACATATACAAGAGGAAATATAGAGAGAGTTTTCTCAATCATTTCTTCTTCAGAAATGTTTTATCTACATAATCGTAATTGTGAGACAATACTATACATTTCACTATTGAAAGCATTTAAATTTGGAAAATCCAAGACACTTAAATGTGTCCAATTATGACATGCACGTGGAAGAAAAATGGTCTTTTGATGATCAAACCTGGATTTAAGATTCTTCCAAAGTTCTGTAGGATCTTCCATTTCCAAATATTGATGTTGTAATACATGTATAAAATGAGGACGAAGGAGAAGAAGTGCTTTCCAACGAATAGTAGGAGGTATAGAAATACTTATTGTAGGAGATTCTTCAAATATAATGGCATCCGAGAGTTGTTCTGCAAATAAATTTGCTTTTGCCATTTTTGCCCATAATAGATAATTGTTTCCATCCACAATCAATGGTGGAAATAAAAGAGCTTCAAAATGTTGGGATGCATTGGTAATAGTTGGAACCATAGTAGAAGCAATTAAAGATGTTGAAGCATTTATTATAAATAAATTTGTAAAGAAAATATAAGATCAAGTAGAAAAGTTGAGTAAAGCGTACCTTAAAATATAAAGTCAAATAAAATGATAAACTTGAACTTGAAAAAAAAAAATTATATATATATATATATATATATATATTTCACAAGGTTGTAGATTAAGGCAGTAGAATAGCACTAAGATGGCGGCAGTAGATAGCAGTAGGAGGGCAACAATAGGGTGGTAGGGTGGCAACGTCAGGCAGCGACAACGGCGGATTTGGCGGTAGTTCAGGGCACAACAGGGTGTAAGCTGGAGTAGAGTTGGGCTGGATCAAGTATTTTAAATAAGTATTCTAAGCAAGCAGGGTTGAGAGTGGAACAAGTGCTCTAAGCAAGCAGCTAATGTGTGAAGGGCCAACAAGAAGAGCAACAAGATCATGAGGCAAACACTGAGCAAGAGTAGCAACAGGTTTGAAGAGTCAAGACTAGAGCAAAAAAAAATTATAATAGTGTGTAGAAGAGAGTCGTATTGATAACATATTGAGAATGTTTAGAAAGACACAAGAGTAATATTAAGTCATACACACACACAAGAATAGTAGTAAGTCATATATCCAAGAGGGTTTCTAAAGAAAGAGAGCTTCACACATAAAAATCTATTGATCTAGTTGTATCTTGTATACAAGAAGAGAAAAGGGGAGAAGATAAATAGTACTTCTCCACTAGACTCTAAATACTGTAGCTATGGTATTTATTGTAGTCTACAGTAACTATTATTATGAGCAGTAGCTACATTTAATGACCTCAACAGATTTCAAGATGTATCCTTTGTATTAAAAAGTAATAAATACATAGGTAGTAATAACTATCATTAGCTTGGAACCATCAACAAAACCCATCACGGAACATTACAATTTCTTTGAACGTATTTAAGGATTTTTCACTTTTTTTAACATTTCTTTACAAATTCCATGAACACTTAGAACATGATTTTTCTCCATTTCGTTTCCCACTTTTAAATGTCTTTCTGTAACGGCATATTGAAAAGTCAACTTAGCAAGGTGGGTGTGAATTATGATATGGATTGCATTAACTGATCTGAAGAAACGAATAGTTGCAAGCTGCTGAACTTCTAGTAGGTTCCACCTCTCGTGAAGCGTGCTACCGAGATCTTTCAGAGAATAGTCAACATCATGCATGCTCATTCAATTTGCACCGGATCGCAGACAGAGTTGGTAGACTTGTGACATAGTTCAACTTGAATATTACCGAGCAAAAGGCTTAAACATCTTCAAGGAGCTTCAGAGACACTTTACTGTGGAAGAGTTCAACACAGCCTGAAAACAGAGCTGATGTACGCACTGTGCTCAATGAACATTGGAGTTGAAAAATCTCCGTATCTGCTTCTATATCAAAACTAAACAACAAGAATCTGTGTACCTATAAGCCTTCAACCGCAGATGATTTATATGCATTAAATTTGATCTTAGTCGTTGGAAAGCCGAAAACCACAGGGTCATTTTTGTTAACTGGACTTCGTCTGCCATTTCAGCTACAGGGAGGACTCTAAGGCTTTGCCATTCTGGAGTGAGACAGGTGAGAATTACTGAGTACCCAGAGACGCAGCTACAGAAAAAGAAATATAAAATCAAAATCCTTCTAAGCTGGGTTGAAATTGAAAGTTGAAATGCAAACAGACAGAGTTACCATAATATCCAGGTCGACCATGTTCAAAAGTTCACAAAGTAGGGCTTGTGCGTACCTTGTAGGCTGTCATGGCTTGCTCATATTGGCCTTTCCTAACAGAGGCCTCAGCAACGTAAGGCGCTTTCTCCTGCACAACAGCGAACAGAATGAGAAGGCACTATTGTGGATGCATATTTATTACATGGTTCTGTTCACTTACTAATCACTGACCTCTTCTGACATGCTGAGCCACTTTTCGCCACCAGCTTTAGCGCTCTGCACATCTCAAAGAAGAAATAATCAAAAATGCGGAAATAGTTTCGAATTTTTCATTAAAACATCAGAACCAAGGGATGCCTAAAATTTCATATTTTTCACACTAATTAATACAGTTAAGTGGCACACAACAAGTAGGAGTGCAAACACAACATCAGACATATTCCAATCATAGGGCGAAGACTTGAACTGGATTTAGTTGTTTCAGAAAGAGGACATTCGGCATCTTACCGCAGTGACTCCTTTCACATCAGGGTTTGCTGCTTTGAACTCCTTCCGGAAAGTCTCCCTGGAGTCAATTGAGTATGAATAAATGAGAGACGTAACTATGACTAGCAAAACTGAAACTCGCGGTCATCCGAACTGAATTTCAAGATAATGGGAACCATGGAGATGAGAATCAGAAACCCAAGACTCACATGAAAATGAAGTATGCGGAAGGTGGTCGCTTGGGCATGTCAGAGTCCTTGGCAGCCTTTTTCTTGGTTTCAGATTTCTTGTGCTTTTTGGGGCTTCTGTGTTGCACGAGAGGCTACTATCAATGAAGCGTCCAAATCCAGAATTACTTGTATTGCGAAGGATGAAAATGCACAAAATAAAAGAGATGCAGTATTCGTACAGTGCATACCTTTCTTTAGCCGCTCCACCGCTGGAAGCGTCTCCGTTCAAGCTTACCGCTACCAAATGAATACCAACGACAACTCACACATTCAATTCAAAAAAATTGATCTAAAAGGCAACTCAAACACATCTACGTGCCTAAATGAGAGCACGCTAATAGTAATGATCCATGAGAGCCTTCAGGAGCAGACATTTCCTATAAAATAACCGTATTTAGTACAGTAAGCCCCTCATCACCTGGACTAGACGTGAAACACTGCCATAAACAAGTTAAACGCATTTAGCCATCAACTCATTCGATCTGGATTCCAATGTTCAGCAGCGATATCATCGAATCCGAGATATGGAGTGGGGACCTTTTGTTTTTTAAAAGTTACTGTTGAAAATCCTATACAGTGAAGATGTCTCCTTCGCTGCAGACAATATGCTTCAGCCAACCGTCGAAAGACGAAAGAAAGAGGATCATGTTACGATCCAAATGGAACTCAATGCAGCGACCTTTAAATTCAAATAGTAGGATAGCACGACAACGAAGCCTGTGTAGGCAATGCATTGTTTTCCATGAAAACGGTAGTGAATAAGGTTCTACTCTTGAACTCCCGAACTAGGTTATCTTAAGAATGTGCAAGTAAAATTAATCTTTGTGTACAAACAACCCTCAAGAAAGTCAGACGAATGCAACTCTCAGAGAAGATTATAATAAACTCACCCCCATTGGTAGCAGCAGCAGAGCTTCTCGCCGCAACCCTGCTCAACCCACGGGTGGACACCTCGCTGAAAGTGGAGTACAGAGAGCAAAACGCACCCACGCTGCATTCCTCCTCCCTCACCAAACTCGTTTTAGTCTTCAAAGCAGCCGACGCCACAGCTCCACGGCTGCTGGATTCCACTGCCACGAAGATCTTTGCAGCATGCAGAGCCATCAGGCTGTGCAATATCCGCTTGTCTTGAGTGCTTCCCGTGCATGACGCTACTCTAACCACAGAGGACATGGCTGCGGCCGCCATCGTCACCCTCTCTCCAGATACAAGCGACCAACACAAAACCCCAAAACCCCTACCAAAAACCACACGAACTGAAAAACCCACAACTCAAAAACGACCCTAAACCCCCACCCAGTCAGTGGACGTCTAAACGCTGCTCACGATGTCAAGCAACTAGAAGCAAAAGAATTAATATTCAGAGGAGCGAAGTTGCAATTCGGGTGAAGATAGCAACAGCAATTGACAACAAGATGAGGAGATGAAGAGGGGGCCGGAGAACACCTACAGGTCTGGAGTTCAAGGCAAAACAACGGGTGACATCCGGGTATATGGCGGGCATTCAACTAAGTCAGACCAAGAGAGGTCTGGATAATAATCTGTTCCGTATATCCCCGGAGTACCAATATCCATGGCCACGATGGACAGAAACCGTCTTGTGAATGGATCAGCCACGATGGACAGAAACCGTCTTGTGAATGGATCAGCCACTTGGACACTTTTGCTAAAGTTGGGGTTCAGTCCACAAATAGATGGGGAGTTCCAAGCTGACAGTTCAATCGATAAACCTCGACGCTTTTAGGGCTCACAGCAATGTGCTGAGGTGCAGCGACGCAAAGTGTTGCACAACTTGTGCGAAATGGCTGCAGTACTTTTGGCATGATTCGGCTCCCTCTGCATCCATCTCAACCTGGCGGAGCTCCGACATCGGGAACCTGGCACCCTTGTCGACAATCTGATTATTCTGGACGCGCCTGAATTAGGGTTTTCATAGCCGTAGGCTTTGCTCATCAAATTGCTCCTAGAGTCGAAGCCTCTTGGCAGGAGACTGATGGAGTTTAAAACCCTAAACCCATCTTTGGTATGGAGTGATCTTAAACTAACAAAACGATGCCATGGAAGCATCAAGTGATTTGTTGGTTTAAATCTCAATTGTGAAATTTCTGACTTGGTTGAACTTTTCAAGCCTGATAGAGGCCAGTACAGAAATAATGACTTTGTTATATCTCAAACAAAAAATAAATAAAAACTAAACCAAACTAAACCAGACTCACGTAAGGACATAAACATCTTAGTTTTGGAAAATAAAAAAGTGAATGCATGATAAAATAATCATTTTAATTTTTTGGATTTGTAGTGTTACACTATAGACTCATTTATCTTATTTGAACTTTGATTACATCAAATATTACTCTACATTTTTATTTTTTTCATTTTTATAGTTTTTCAATAGATATAATATCTTTAAATTGGTCTTGTTTTAGAAAAAACACATCATGTTATTTCGTCCATTCATTATATATGTTTGAATTTGTATAGGTTTTTAAATTGATGTGCATATTTCTACTAAATTTAGTGGTATCCATAGATTGCAATCTTTCATCCAACACTTATAAACCTAACATAAGTTGCTATAATACATTTGAAAAGTGTTTCTTTTTTATTTTTTAAATCTGATTATTTCTTATTACAAGTGACATAAATTTTGGGTAATTTATTAAAGATTGGAAGAATATTGTATACATATTTAAAGTTATATAAATGCACTACCATCTTGCAATCTATTCAAATAAATAAGTCTATTGTTTTATTTTATTCTTGTAAGTTTATAGAATATTTCTATTTAGATAAAATAAATAATTTTGATCTTAATTTTAGGCATATTAAGTAAAGTTTTTATTGTAGAATATAAATAAATTATTCTTTTGCTCTTAAAATCTAGATTGGTTAAAATGTTGAATTTAATAAATAGATATTTTGTACCAATCTAGATTTTAAAGCTATATTAGCTTAATTCTTTGTTTTATGATGTTTTTTTAAATACAAAAGAGGATTTATCTAATGTCTTTGTGGAGTAAAAATGTTATAATAGACTACTTAAATCTTTATACTAAAAGGTGAAGCTACAAATACTAAGAACATGAAGCATTATTAAAAACAAGTTTATTTATACTTTTTTGTATAATTATACCAAATCAAGGTATTTTAGAGTTTTATCTAATGACTTTGTCACATCTAGAACCAAATATTTGTTTGGCCATCTTTTAAGTAGGGAGGACTTAATTGCAAGTATTTTGCAACTTTTTATTTTGACAAATTTCCAACAATTTTTTTCAGATTCAATAAGACCCTATTAGATTATACTTATAGTATAGAGTGTACTCCATACTTCATTTTCAAAGACAAACTTGTTTCTTTGAATCCAAAAAGATTGTAAGCAAATTCTCTTTCAGAATGATCAGTTTTTACAAAAAACATTTAAATCTTTAGGAAAGGATTTTTGCAAAGATAAATTGTTGCTAAGTAAAGGATTATTGAGGACCTCAATTCTAAGAATTAGATGTTAATTTGTACATAAGAAAAGTATCCCAATTGAAAATTATAATGTCCTTGATGACAATTCTAAAACTAGTGGAGAATAGATTCATGTGTTTGGAGATGACACTAGCACATTGAATATCAATATTATGATTGATTAATTTTCCTCCAAGTATTTATGGCTATACCTTTGTGCCATATAATTCAAATGAACATAACTTCCTTGTAAGAGTGGACTAAGTGTTATTCCAATTAAATGAAAAGTCTCGACCAAGGAAGATTCTCCACTTTTGAACCACAAAATTAGTAGTAGAGATATTACTTTGAAGTAATTTTTTACCAAATTTAGCTAAATATGTCTTAAATTCTTTGTTTGTGATCTAAAGTTAAGATAGGAGATTAAATGTCAAATTATTAAGTAGGACATAAAAGAAAACAATTCTTAAAGTTTATTTTCTTGTTGATTTTATTTTTAGAATAATTCTAATAATTTTTAAAAAATATCATATTCCATTTCTATTGTCTTCTAAGTTGTATTAATTCAAAAAAAATGTATCAAAGTAGAGGGTTTTAGATTTAACATATATTTAATTTTTTTTATTTCTATAAGACATGGTAAAACAAACCTTTTATTTTCTTCTATTCTTACATATTTTGATGAGAGTTGGAAACTCACATTGAAAAGATGATTAAATTCTTATTTTTATAATTCAATTCAATTATTATATTTTAGAAGGATATTTTTATATTGAAGTATATATTTTAACTTATTTGCAAATAAGTGAAGAAGAAATCCTAGATAGAGCTATAAAATAATAGAATGTAAAATGTGGCTATTGCTTCTTCTATACTTAGCAAAGATATAAGCCCTTTAAAGAGATTTTTGACAAAATAAAGATTTTTTGAATAGAGGATTGAAATTTGATGGGATTCTTGGTGAATTTTAATTTTAAAAAATTAATGATTCTACTATTAGAAATAATTTTGTATATTATGAAAGTTAGTAAAAGTATTGAACAACAAAAACTTATACATATGTATCCAAAAATTTCCAATTTTGTTCCACATTTTAGATCTACTTTGCTATTTATAATTTAGAATGAGAAAAAAAATAAAATTTGGTGATCAATTTCCATAAGTCTTTGGTATAAAATTTATGAAATGTTATCTAATAAATTATTAAATATTAATTTGGTCCAATTGAAGAGCCACTAATATTCATTTGGATAAAAAAGACTTTGGTGGCATCTTCTTGGTTAATGATGTCAAGGCCACTTTTTTTTATAAAATTTATAATAAACAACCTATGCCATTTTAGACTAAATTAAATAAGAGATGTAGAATGTTATTTATAAGGATGGTTTGTCTTATCACATTAATTTTGGTAAAGTACCAATAACCTAATTTCTTTGTCATTCTATTGATAAAAAATGATCAACATCTTCTATATTCTAAAGAATACCAAAAGAGATTCTAATGAGTTTAATAATATTAGTATTTGTTGCCTATGCTCAACTAAAATAATTTAACTATGTTCATTTCTCTATTCTTTTAAATTTCTAATAAATCAAAAATTTGACCGATTTATTTTTAAACCTAAAGCCAAGCTAAAATATTGATAATATTTACCAAATAAATAATGTTTTCTTTCTCATATCATACAATGATTTTAGAGTCATTTGCATATTGGCTAATAACTTGTTGATTAAATCTCCATAAAATAAAAATGTCTAATAAATAGTATTTTTGCACATTATGCTAAATAGAAATATTAATTTTTTTATCAATTAGGATGAGGAAGTATAGAACCAAAAGACAATCTTGATTTATAAACTTTATTAATAATTATTGCTATTCTTTTAACTTACATACTAATTCTAATCATGAGAACAAAAGAAGCATGAAAGCTAAGTTATTTTAGTAATTTAAATATAAAATCTCAATCAATCTTCTTATAAGTTTTTTTAAAATAATTTTTTAATAGATAAGATGGTTATTTTAAAGCCTTGACCTAATTTATAGTTTTTTGAATAATCAATATATTATTAAATATAAATTATAAAGAAAAAATATAATTTGGTTGAAATAAATAATATCCTTAAAAACAACATGAAGTTAGCTTTGAACTATTTAAATATAAATTTTGTAGAAAATTTTTGTGTTATAATACAACTATATGGTGAAAGATAAAAATATGGATTTTATTATAGAAGAAACTAGTTGAAAGATATAATAGCAAAATATGGTTAAAAGATATGAAGGTAATAAAACCTTTTTTTGTGTTAAAGCTATTTTTTATAAAAACAACATTTCTACTTATTTTTTATAACCATGAATAAGGTTAAATAAAGTATATAAGAAAAATAAATAATATTGGCATCTTTAGAAAGTAATTAAGAATATTTTTTAGCAAATTTACCTTAAAGAATCAAGAATTGATACTTGGAGAGGACCAATTGTGAACTAGAAACGAAATCAGACTTGAAGGCATAAAACCATGTATCTAAGGTAATTTTGGGGTTCTTTTGCTGATCAAACAATACAATTAGGGAAAAGACTTTAGAAAATTATTTTGGGCATTAATTTGAAGTAATTTAGATGCATATTGAGTTTTTGAGAGATTTTTAAACTAAAAGATCTATTTAGAAGTTTTAGATTTTGAAAAATAAAAAGAGGCTCACATATTTGAAGAATTTTTGAGTAGTATAGCAAATTTATAGGTAAAATTAGTAAATTTGTTATTTTGCTAGTCTTCAATGAGTTTTATAAATTTGAGGTTAATAAAATGGTTAAATTGCAAGATATGAAAGTTTTATTGGATTAAGGTCTCAGATATTTGAATTTAAGGATCAATGATGGTTTCTACAATCCTAAAAAATTTGCTAGTTTGATTGAAGCAAAATTTGGTAAGAGCATTTTTGACTTAGGTAGTTATACTTTTATTACTTTTTAAAGCAATTGGATGGTTCAAAAAAGATTTTTTTTTGTTGAAAGATCAACATCTAGATTGAAAAAAGAAAGATAGCCAACACTTGAGAGTTTTAAGAGCTTTTTCT